TGTGTGTGTGTGTGTTCTGTCCTTTTGAGGTCTGAATATTCCCATGAGGACGGTAAAATTAGCAAACAAGGACAAAATGAAGAGCTCAGTTTAGTGTTTTAAGGTCAGATTTAGAAGTTAGAGGCTGAATGTTGAGGTGAGGCGAGCTGTGATGAAGGTCATTGAGTCTTTTTGATTTTAGTTTATTTATCCAGCTGCTGGACGGTTTGTTCTTTTAAAAAAGCAGCATCGTGGCTTAATAACTGCAATAAAATCCAGTCTGATGGATCGGAAGTGAGCATGTAGCTCAAACGTGGTGCAACAATTGGATTTTCATGCTTTCAGCAAATATTTGTTTGCATGTTGAGTTCCATTCTCTTCCCTTTCAAAACCTCTCTTACACACGATCTTCAGCCTGTTTTACTCGTCTCCTGGTGTGCTTGATGGAAAAGGTGTTGCGTCTTATTTTAATCGATCCAGCTTTCTACAGAGGCTACAACTAGCATATTTTTACGTTTCAGCTGTATTTTCTTCCGTTTTATGTGCGCTACTCGAGTGATTGTGTGTTGGGCTCTGAGTGATGCCAATACGTAGGTGACCTACACTGAAAACTTTCCCTGAATGCATCCTGTGTCAAACACAAAGTACAAATACAATTCTAAGTATTTACAGGAAGAGCTGCTGGCCTGTCACGGTCAGGTCCAGAATCAAAACGTTCAGAGAGAAAAATGTGTGAAAAAGATAATAATTTGTGGGAACAATGTTTGTTTTGGAAAGCACTTTGTAATTATTGCTGTGAAGCCATATTTTATTAATTGACCTTGTGCCTCTGTCCCCTCTTCATATCCTCCTCTTCCTGCCTCATACCCCTTCACTGCCCTCCCTGCCCCTCTGTACCTTTGTGTTCCAGGCCGGCTCTGCCCACGTTCGCATCCGCCGGGACGCCAACGAGCAGCTGGTTCTGGCTCACGTCACCAACCGACTGCTGCCGCTCGTCTCCACGCTGACGGTCCAGATCTTCAAAGATGACTGGACCAGACCGCTCCTCACCGGGGCCCTCTCCTCCTCCGCCTCTATTGCCCCTCTGGGTCCTGCTGAAGGCTACGCCGCCCTCTCCTCCTCCTCTCTGCCTCCTCTGCTGATGTCCTCAGGAGGAGAGCTAGACCCGCTGACATCTACACCCGCCAAACCCAGCAGCCCCCCTCCAGAGTTTGCCTTCGACACACCAGGGAGAAATGTGCAGCCGGTGGTCCTCCCTGCCCCGGGGCACCACACCCACAGGCCCTACGGAGGCCTGGGACTCGCCTACGGAGCGCCTCCCTACACAGGGATGCTGAACCAGGGCCTGGCGCGGCCCGGCGGCGGGCTGGGACTCGGTGTGCAGGGTCTGGGGGCGGGGTATGGATTGGGTGTGAGCGGGAGCGGGGTGCCTTCCTCTCAGAGCTACAGAACTGCCTTCGGAGGGTCCGCGGCACCACTGCGGTTCGGAACCAGCAACCCTCTGGCTTCACAGTCGCAGTACAGACAATACAGACCCTGATTGTGCCGGGCCAGAACTCTTCTTCTGTAGAGGTGATGAAGGTCGGTTTCTCCACACCTCAGTTCAGATATTTGAAACTCTGATGACATTTACGGACGGCTGACACAACAACATTTACTCCCAGTGTGACAACAAGATGATAACTTTAAAGGGCGAAGCTTTGTAAACTCTTGTAGTGTGAGCCCCCCAACTTTAGAAGAGAGATGGTGAGTGTGTTGTGGTATTTATTTTATCAACAAGGGGACCAAAAGGTTGACTGTGGTTGAATTTGTTTTTTTAATCCGGATCTTAGGAAACAGCCTCAGTGTGGGGCTGACTGTAAGAGAGCAGGGTGTCCGTACTTATTACGTTTTATGTTTATTTTGTAAGAATAAAGGCTGTGAGGAAATGTCATCAAACAGCATTCCAGGTGAGAGGAAATAAAGTCTTGAATTGAATTAAATTCCTGCGTTATATTTTACATTTCAGAGTCCGGAGGTCAAAGGTCAGAGGCGACGACAGACTGATGATATCTAGTGTCCTTTTAACGATAAGACAAAGGAAGATATGACAAAAAAGACAGCGTATTGGACCAAACTGATGGAGAAGATTTAGAAAACAGGAAGAAATGTTTTCTTTTTCTTTTCTTTTTCTGTCCAGCTGAAAAGCGTTGAGACATCTGCTCTAATGTGTTGCCATAATGTGTCCACGCCGACCTGAATTCAAATATGAAATATCATCTTTAAAACCAAAACAGCATGACTGTTTTCATTTGTGAGTAAAAGTCTTCAGTTCGCTCCTCCTCTGTTGTGGTTCCAGGCCAGCCTCATTTCCCGAATCATGTTTGTATATTTCCTTGTCCACTTATTGGTAATTGAATTGAACTTTTTTTTTCCTCTGCTCTGAAGTTCGTCAGTACAAACATTAAATGTTTTGACTACAGAACTGCTGCTGAAGACACACATGCAGAGTTGAACATTAAAACAAAGTACTGTACAGTTTCTCACATTGAACAACACATGGAAAACAAAATAGTATGTGTTCTTGTGTAGGGCTAACACTTAATTATATCATTTGCACATTATTTTTTTAAACAACATTCAATAATTTAGTCTCTGATATGTAAGAAAGTGAAGAAAAATACCATCACAGTTTTCTCAAACTCTATTTGACACAAGATTTTAATTTTAAAAAATAACAAAATTCCCAAACCACTTGGCTTAAAACCTCCATATATGGGTATTTAGTAGATTGCAGCCTGTCAGTCTCCCCTTTACTATTACTACCCACTGCTGGAACAAATGTACAACAGGTGGCATAATCCTATCATTTAGCAGGATATAACCTGAACCTTTTCAACTGCCAACTGTTGACTGTTCATACTGTAATTCATCAGAAATGTCCGGTAACTCACCTGAAGAGCCATTCTCCAGAGCCATGACTCACAAGGTAACGTCTTTTTGTGCCTTTTATAGTTTATCGTTTCAGGGGCGGCATGTTGGTACTCGGACAGTGTTGTGAAGCAGTGCAGGGAGGCGCGTGTTTAGCTGACACCGGAGAGTTAGCCTCTCTGAGCCGTAAAGCTAACTTTACAACACAGGTACCACACAGAAAGTTACAGAAACTTACAAACAGCTCTAAATGTGTTTCTAGTGTCAAAGCTCCTGGCTGCATCGCCCGGTTAGCTCTGACTACCGGCAGCTGTACTCCTGCTTCACTGAGTGGTACTCTGTCACTCTGGGCAGTGTTACCTCCTGCATCACACGCTATATATGAAATTACAAGGTAAATGATTTTCTGCTGCATTTTATTGTTGTTTATTGTATAGGTTGCTGGGGTGGAGAGAGCTAGCAGAGTTACACTTTAGTATCATAAATGTAGAAGAAATGGCGAGTCTTTACATTTGATAAACTGGAACCAACACATTTGTTTGCGTTTTTTTTCCTGAACAATTCATCAGATACCAAAATATTTGCAGATTAGGCAATTGACTAATTGTTGCAGCTCTAAGTGCGTGTCTTGTTGACAAATTATCGACAGAATCTTCCCTTAAAAACAAATATTAACAAGTTAGGAAACATTAGTGGTTTTCCTCCATGTGGTCAGCAGCAGCTCTGCAGACTCTTTTACAGCCTCAAATAAAAGCCAGATTTAGAGGTCTGGGAAGAAAAGTTTGACAGTCTGTTAGAACATGATGAAAACATGGAGCCTGTGAGGGAGAAGAATTGAACGGGTCTGATTTTCATGAAGGGGATGATTTCATGTACTCTACTGGGAGTGAATATTTGACTGGGATGTTGATGGGATGATGAGATTTTTTTTCTTTTTATTTATGTTTTTAATCTGAATTCGTGGGGTGAGTGTCACAGAACTGTAACTCCTTGTTCATTCCTTACAGGCCACCTTTCTCCCATTTAGAGAATCAAACCACCCTTAAACATGGAAAAATGTTGAATGGTTGCATCAGAGCTGAGAAATCAATATGGAGAATAAACAATATTACGGTATAACACAGAACAGGCAAACGTGCAGTAACATGGCAACTTTATAGAATAAACAGTATTGTTGGAAAACCTTCACTGTGCCCTCATGAGACGTATTCCCTGTATGTTTATTTAAAAAGACCGACTGGGACTCTGTTATTTAAAACAGGTCATGAGATTTGATACTTTTTCTCATCATTTCTTCATCTGTTGTATCTCAGCCGTCACCTGCTGGCTGAAAAACAAATCATCCTCTAATCTGTAACATGGATTTAAGTTAAAAAAAATGTCCTGGTCTTGTGTGCTGTGTTGGTTTGTTTTCTGAGGTTGGAAAAAAAACCAAAAATACATAGTGGGTTAATTTGGCATTAAGTCAGGAACCAAACAAAACAAACACCTTACATCCTGTTTTTAATTGGATCTGAAATGTAAAACTGATGTCTCTATATGACCCTCATAAACAGACCATAACATCAGTGAGAAGATTGGCTATCATGCCTTAATGCCTGCCACTGGGTCAGATTCGGTCGGATTCCCCTTGAAATCAATAAAGAAGCTGTAGAAACACTACCACTTTTGTTCACGGGGGCTGCCAGAATCGACACAAAAAGTAAGCTTCTTCTAAGGGGTTAAAAGAGCAAAGAAGGGGATCTTTAACTTTTCCACATTGTTATTTATAATTAGAGGCAGTTAACGCAGATTAAGGTTTGACTTTATTGAGCCTTCATAGTGTCGATCTCACACTGATAAATTCGTTATAGGAGCGAGGGAGATACAGGCTGTTCTTTCCTCCACATTGTGTCCAAACCAGTGCCCTTATTGTTTTTAATCCAAAGGAAAGTCAGTTGTCTCTCTGTAATCCATTTGCTTCTCCAGGCGTCACTGATCTACATTAGTGTATGATGAGTCTTTTGCACCCTCAAGGCTTTCTGGGAAACCTGTTCTCATTGACGTGAACTGGTGACTTTCTGACCCTACAGCATCTGTTGTAAAGATGATACTCATCTCCATTACAGCACTGACAAACAAGTTCTTCAACTGTGGTACAGTTTAAAAGGGTTGAATACAGGTATTCTCACCTAAATCTGCTGCTGTTCCCAGGGAAAAATACAGTCAGGTCCATAAATATTGGGACATCGACACAATTCTAATCTTTTTGGCTCTATACACCACCACAATGGATTTAAAATGAAACGAACAAGATGTGCTTTAACTGCAGACTTTCAGTTTAATTTGAGGGTATATTACATCCAATCAGGTGAAGGGTGTAAAAGAATTACAACAGTTTGTATACTGGTGGCCATCCGCACTTTTTTAAGGGACAAAAGTAATGGGACAATTGGCTGCTCAGCTGTTCACGATGGCCAGGGTGTGTTTTCCCTCGTTATCCCATTTACAAAGGAGCCAGATAAAAGGTCTAGAGTTCATTTCAAGTGTGCTATTTGCATTTGAATCTGTATGGCCCTGTCAACTACTTCAATCATGAGATTTCCAAAAGATGCTGTCACTATCAGTGAAGCAAGCCACTTAATCTAGGCTGAAAAATCAAAAACAAACCATCAGTAGAAGATAGCCAAAAACATATAGGTGGGCCAAATCAAACTGTTTGGAACATTCTTAAAAAGAAAGAACGCACGGGTGAGCCTCAGCAACACCCAAAAGACCCGGGAAGACCACGGAAAACAACTGTGGTGGTATGAAGCGAAGAATTCTTTCCCTGTGACAGAAAACACCCTTCACAACAGTTGGCCAGATCAAGAACATCTCACAGCGAGGTAGGTGTATTGTGTGCAAAGTCAACAATCCAGAGGGAAGGACTTCACCAGAGTGAATACAGAGGTTCACCACAAAGATGTAAACCATATGGTGAGGCCTCCAAAAACAGGAAGTTGCAGATTAGAGTTTGCCAAACAACATCTAAAAAAGCCTCCACAGTTCTCGGAAAACATCCTTATGGAACAGATGAGACAAAGATCACTTGTACCAGAGTGTGGGGAAAGAGAAGAGTAATGAGAAGGAAAAGGAACTTGCTCATGATCCAAAGCATACACCTCATCAGGAAGCATGGGTGGTGGCAAGTGTATGCGTGGCATGTATGGCTGCCAATGGAGAACTGGGTTCCCCTTGCTATTATTGATGATGTGACTGCTGACTAAAGCAGCAGGATGAAGTTACTGGAGTGTTTACGGCAACTATTATCTGCTCATATTCAGCAAAATGCTTCAGAACTCCCTTCACAAGTGCAGACTGGAGCAATGACCCAAAGCATACTGCGAAAGCAACCCAAAGAGTTTTTTTTAGGCAAAGAAGTGGAATGTTTATGCAATGGCCATTCAATCCCCTCGACCTGAATCCGATTGAGCATCGCCATTTCACTTCTGAAGACAAAACTGGAAGGAAATGCCGCAAGAACAAGCAGGAAACTGAAAGACAGTTGCAGTAGAGGGCCTGGCAGAGCATCACCAGGGATGAAACCCAGCGTCTGGTGATGTCTATGCGTTCCAGACTTCAGGCTGTAATTGACTGCAAAGGATGATTTTCAAATCCATTGTGGTGGTGTATAGAGCCAAAAAGATTAGAATTGTGTCGATGTCCCAATATTTATGGACCTGACTGTACCTGCAGTAACTTGGGATATTTGATGAGTGCGTTCCCACACAAACAAGAATATTCTAAATGGATAAATATAGGACTTTTTCCAGTTTGTTTTCATGCTGAAATGTCAGTTTACAGCTAAACATCCAATGTAATGCCCCATACCCCAAATACAGCACTGGTGGATCGCCATGGATATCTCTTTCCTGCCTTCACAGCGTTGTGTTCAATGTGCAAAGATAGTGTTCTGTCTTAGTACTGAAAGGCTAGTACCACATAATCTACTACATAACAAAGAATAAAATCAGGAACTTAAAATAAATGTAAATTAATGATTTATTACCTACAGTTTTGTTTTTAAAATCAAACTTCATCTACTGCAAGA